AGTGATAATTTTAAGTTGTCTTCTTTTGAGGCTCTGCCTGTCTCCATGTGTCATTGGATAACAAACTTCACTGAGTCAGAACTTGGCCACTTCACAGGATGCATTTTCTTGTTTATCATCTAAGAAGTGTAAAACTTATCTCTTTTATTAATGTGAAATGAAATGATAATCACGATGTTGATGACATTTAATTCTTGGCTCCAAGAGTCTACAAACGTGTTTCTTGTTTACAGAATCATCCTGGGTAGGTGCAGAATCTCTGCCTTCTTCAACACGTGGCTCCCAAGGTCACTGTGAAGATCATCTCCATCCCAGCAAGCCAGGCAGCAAAAGAGTGGGCAGCTGCACACACGGAAGGTTTTATGTGCCAAAGATAATTTATTGTAACCCAGATGTATCTGGTTCTGGGTAGTTTTTCTTTATATATCTCCTTTATTTAAAAAAAATATAAAAGAACCTGGTGCTTAGATGCAATCAAAATCATTTATTCATCATGGAGAAAAGCCTTTCAATTCTAGAAGGTTAGAGAAGAAAATGGATATGATTAAGTTTACAGAATCAATGGAGGCAAAAAAGAAGTTGACTAAATCACAGATCACAGAAATAGGGTGCTATCTTTGAACACTGAAAGCATTATTTTGGGGCACATATAGGCAACAGAGTATAATTTTAGAATAATTATAAGTGTTAATTACTATTGATTAACATTAACTATGTGACAGTGACTTACATACATGATTTTATTTGATCTTTATAATCACTCTTCAAGCTAACTTAGTATGGTGATTAAATTTGCAGACTAGAGGGTCGAACTGCCTGGCTTTTACTTCTGGTTCTTTCACTTACTAGCTTGAAAAATTTGGTGCAACCATGTAACACTTCTTTTACTCAGTTTCAGGTATAAAATAAAGATCCATGACAGTAACCAAGTTCATAGCATTATTGTGAGGACTAATGAAGTAAGAGTAAAAATTCTTAAAACAGTGCCAAGTTCATAATAAGCTTTCTTCCTCATCATCATTATTTCCTCATTTACCTATATCAGCATACTGTATTCCAGAAGCGGTAAAAGACTTCCCCAAGGTCACGTAGCTAGTTACAGATAGAACTAGCTATTGGAAAGTACATCAATTCAGATCAAAACACCTGTCCTTCCCAGGGTGGCAGATCTGGAGTAAGTTATGAACTGATAAGACAGTTGTGGGATATATACCACAATCTAATTTCTAGGGGAATTAGAAATATTTATATTTTATTATAGTAAAATCAGGGAGAAATTATCCAGCTCTTATAAGGGACAACCATGATGGTTAAGAGTGAAGGTCATAAATTCATACTTTCTAGGTTTCGATTTCAGTTCCACCTTGTATAACCTTGATATTAATTCACTTCTCCAAGCCACGGCTTTATAATCAGTAAAATAAGGAGTAATAATTTCATCCACCAGATCAGCTGAGAGCAACCCTGAGATATAACTGATAAAGATATCTATTATTTTATTTATCAGGAAGTCTAGAGATCCTTCAAAGAGTTAGGGATGTTAGGAAGGAATAAGGCTATTTGCATTTTTCTACTCAACTGTGCTCTTCACACAAGGAGAGAGGAAGAAGGGGGTGGAGAGACAGAGAGCAACAGAGAGACAGAGAGACACCCCCATACACATTGGTCAGATTTGGATCCCATATGTACCTTCTACACCAGTCAAAAGCAAAGGAGAATGGAATTTCTTTAATTGGTTTAGACCAATCAAGTTCATTTCCTGGACAGAGGAAGGGACCACCTTCCTAAGGAATAATGACTAAACAAAATCAGGGCATGCTTCTAAGAAAAAGTGGGTGAAGAAGGCTGATGAATAGTAAGGGTTACACTACTGAATGTCTGGGAAGTGCTTAACTTAGTGCACTGACCTCTGGTCAATAGAGGCTAACTTTGCCAACTCCCAGAGGCTGATATTCCCAAAGGCAATTCTGTGCTCTCACAAAACACAGACCTTCTTATTGTTTCAAAAAAGAAAAACAGAACAAAGCACTGAACTGGATGGATCATAAGCCGATTCACAGGATTTTGAATTGTCTTGCAGGTTCCTTTGCATGGCAAAAATCCCCACACTTAAAACAAAAGAAACAAGCAAATAAACAAGTAAAATATTTCTGCATAGTATCTTTTAAGAAGGTGTACAAAACTGGGGAGTTGAATTAAACTGCCTCAAGTGTCATCCTGATTTTGAAGGGATTTATTCTGTACTCTTCCTGTATCAAGCTGCATCATTTCCATCATTTTGCTGAAAAAAAAATTACAGAAACGAAAACCCCAGGGGCCCAAGTTTGTTTTGAAGCCCATCTCTATGCAGAATATTACAGCTTTACCCTTCTTTTTACATTCACATTCCCAGCAACAGCTGGGAGGGATAAAGAATGCCTGATGAAATACTCAACCATCCATTCCCATGATAATGGTGCATAACAAATGACCCCCAATTCTGCTGCATTCAAAGAAGAACATTTATTGTCATGCTCAGGGGTCTGCAGGTTGGCTAGGTTCTGGCAGATCTGGGGTGAATTCTACTGGGCTTGACTCCAAACTGCAAATTAGGTTTAGGTCTGCTGACACATGTGTCTCCTTGGATCAGAGGCTCCCTGAGACTTGGTTGCTTATCTTTTGCCAGTGAACAGAAACCTAAGAGGACAAATCCCACCTCAGAAGCATATTTCAAGCCTTTGCTCATATCACACCTTCAAACATCCCATGCGTCCAAGCAAGTCACATTGTCAGACAACAGTGGGGTAGATAGACACACAGCCCGTCTTAGTGAAATCTAAAAGTTCACAAGTGAAATGTAAACCTATAGGGAGGGGTACAGAGCAAAGAACAGAGATGCAAAGAACCTATCTACTTTCTAATTTTTCTCAGAGCCCATTTATGACCTTCCAAATTCTTCCATTAGTGAGCCCATCTTTGATCTGTCTTGACTTCCTAAACCATTCTGATAGGTGAAAATATATTTCCCCAGTAATCTTTCTAATGGATTACAAAGTGATTGAAGGGAAAAAGAAAAGGAAAGGAATGAAAAAGAAAGGATAGAAACAGAGCAAAACAATGTAGTAGAATCGGTTGTAAGGACAATTGAGAAAGCCCAGAGCCCTGGAAGCAGGGTTTTGTCTCAGTCTTTAATTGAAGGTAATCAACATAAGAACTTGACAGTGCCTTCTGAGAGGCAACTAGCAGGTCAACGTCACTTTTTAGAAGGACTGTGTATGACAGATTCAGGTTATAGTCTAGAGATGCATGATTAGAATGAAACAGGTTTTTAATGAAATTCTTGGTGGCAAGTGGCTTCCAAGGTCAAGAGAAGACCTCCCAAAGACATGGAATCATGGGTCTTGTTCACCAGGTTGCCCATGGTGATTGAAATAGTGCCAAGCATATAGGTGGTGATCATTATATTTTTTGAATATATTGCAAAATTATACAGCAAATTCCCCTATTGGATTTTTTGATAATCTTTTGATTGAGTTTATAAGCCTTGTCTTATAGTCACCCAGGAGGTAGAGAACAATGTGTTTTCTCCCTTTATTTAAAAGAAGATGTAATTTAACTATAAATTCAGTCATTTTATGTATTCAGTTTTATGAGCTTTGACAAATTTAAACACACATGATATAGAATATTTCTGTCACCCTCAAAAGTTCCCTGGTCAATCTTGAGAAAGCTCTCTCTCAGTATAGACTAGCTCTTCTATTCAAGAATACCTATAAAGGGAATCGTGTAGCATGTGGTCTACTGTGTCTGACTTCTTCTACTAAATTTAAAGTTTATAGGATTCACTCATGGCATTGAATGTTCATTCCTTTTTATTGTGGAATAGCATTCCATTATTTGGACATACCAAATTTGTGTATCTATTCACTAGTTGATTGGCATTCTCAGCTTCCAGTTGAGGGTATTATGAAAAACGTTATTAACTTACTGTACAAGTCTGTTTTCATTTCTCTTGACAAAAATCTAGGAGTAGAATTTTTTGATTGTATGATAAATGAACGTTTGACTTCACAAGAAACTGTTCTCCAAAGTGTCTTTACCATTTTATATTCCCTCCAGCAATGGATGAAAGTTCTAGTTGCTCCGCAGTCCTCTCCAAAGCTAGGTATAATTAGGTTTTAAACTTTTATCCATACTTTTCTCCTGTACCTTCCTCCAATGAGACATGTTTGAAAAAATGAGTAAACACAAACATTCCTGGATCTATGTTCCTAAATAAGCCAAGTATCTATTAATAAAATCTCTCTCTCTCTCTCTCTCTC